GGATGAAAAAAAACTGAAAAATATTTCCCCCTCAGATCAAAAATCGACGTGTCCGAGCGTTTTTCCAGATTTTTATTCCAAATCCAATAAATTTGGGTGGACTGTTTTCCCTGGGACACCCTGTATATTACAACTGAACTTATTTAGAGATTTACAAGACCAACAGCAAATTTATGACAAATTATTTGATAATAATGGCATGTAATATTGACAGTTGAGTTGAAGAGGGCGCTTCTGTACTTGGAGCTATTCAAATTTTGGCGCGTAAATAATTGATTGTAATTTTAACCTCAAAAGTTAAGTATGATGTGTGGGTTCAAGACAAGCTGACGCTGACACTTTTAAAAATATTCTCTAAGGGCCACTGAATGCTTTGAAAGATGTTTTAACTTATTCATTGTCCATTGTTCATATTGTAGTCATCTTTCCTTCTATTGAATTTAAACGGTTCAAAACTATTGACATTTACCGCCAAAATTTGAAGCACTCCAAGTTCACTCGCGCCCTCTACAAAATTTTGGAGAACTGGATATTTGCTGCCATTGACAAATTCTAAAAAAAAAAAAAAACCTGTTTACCAGTTTTTTCTACACCTTAAAGCCCGGGACACATCTATCATGCATTCTTCCGATCCGACTCCGATCATACAATCAGGGTCCTTATTCTTGGAACAGGGATCAGTGTTCCCAGGCGTTCTCCTGGGAACGCTGCAAACCTGTTCCAAGAATAAGGGCCTTGATTGTATGATCGGAGTCGGATCGGAAGAATGCGTGATAGATGTGTCCCAGCCGAGGTCCCGGCCTTAACAGTCTGCACCTTATACCTTGTACCTATTTGCCAAAGTTTCACAACATGCCCCCTGCCTTGAAGCCATTTGGGTTCAAACACAAAGAAAAACTTATAATAAACTAGCTGACCCGGCGAACTTCCTACCGCCTCTGAATTATTAAATGCCTATTAAATGTTGTATTAACGTATCTATTTGCTGAATTAAATTCAGTTTTTTTCGATGGTGAATTTGGCTTTGGTTGAAAAAAAATATTGTTTACTCTCTGGATCAGAAGTCACCTAAAATTAAAATTTTACATCATCCTTTTTTTTTTCAGCGTTGACAGTACCAGCATGTTGTTATGTCATTAATTGAATTAAATTGTTTACAAAAAATGTGATAAATGAAGAACCGCTCGACCGATTTTGTGCAAACTTCACATAAACCATCTAATAAATAGTCCGAACAAAGCCTAAACATTTGGTTTGGCTAGGTGAGCCTGTTCTTGAGTTATAAAATTACAACGAAAAGTGGCATTAATTTTTATATATATAGATAACGGTGGCATAAATGATCAATTTAAGCCACCTGTAAATCTAGAACACTTGCGGGAATGTCAATTGTAAAACACATATTTTAGCAAAAGATCTTTAAATGCACCCACGCACAGTATTATTAGTAGCAACTCTCGCAACTCCATCCAGACCTATGTATACCGCTTCTATATGTCCCATTCGCCACTGTAGAGAAGGAACATTGTCTTCCTTTACTACTACTAACATACCTACTTCCAACTTTCCCTTGGAAGTATGCCACTTCTGCAACACTTGAAGCTCCGAAACATACTATTTTGCCCACCTAGACCAGAAATGTTGCTGCAACTTCTGAAGTCTTTGATAGAGTGATAGTTTTGTTTCGGGTAAATGCGTCGCATCAGGATCAGGTAAGGATGTCATTGTACTTCCGATTAGAAGGTGAGCTGTGGGGTTAAGGCAGAATTAGTGATGCCGCGAGACTCGAGACTGGTCTCGTCTCGTCTCGTCTCGACTTTTCGAGACGAGACTGGCTTTTGGTCTCGTCTTGTGAAGTCTCGTCTCGTGAAGTCTCGTCTCGTGAAGTAAATCTCGACGAGACGAGACCAGACTCAGCGAGATTCTCGTGTAGTCTCGAGTCTCGAGATTACACTTAAAATTTTTCTTTCATAGCTTTATTATTGGATTATTTTGGGCTATTTGAATATAAATTAAATATCACGGTTACTCTTTACTGTGATTTTTCACTAATTGCTTTTTCAATGTGGCAGTTTGGACTTCTGTTATAATATAAAAATAAAAACCATGAATACAGGGTGTCTGAAAAATACCGTAAAAGCTCTCCACTAGTCTCCACGTAGTAAGGGACCCTTTGAGAAACCCTATAAAAATAATTAAATTAAAAAAATCCTTCTCCAGCATTATTTTTCGTAATATGAAGAGGTAGATGTGAAAATTCACCCTCGAATTCTTCAGGTAATTACATGGTATTTAATTTAATTCTTTGACATTTTGTCAACGGGATATTTTCGGTGTTGCCAATTTTAATAGATATTAAAATGCAAATAACTGTCTTAAGAATGCCACTAGATTTTTTAAAGTATTTTTCTGGGGTTCTTTGTTGGGTCCTCCATCACGTAGAGAAGTGTTTTTACGCTATTTTTTAGACACCCTGTATAACTCGAGACCAGACGAGACCACTCGAGACGAGACGAGACTTTGGTACTCAAGACCGAGACTAAGTCACGGTCTCGTCTCTAGATGTCGAGACGAGACGAGACCAACCCTAAGTCTCGTCTGGTCTCGTCTCGCGGCACCACTAGGCAGAATAGTCACTGGGATCGCTTGACATGGGAGTCAGAGGACGGGAATTTAAGATGGCTTCGATTTCATTCAGTATGGTACAGAAATCTTCGTGTACTAAACATGCATTTGTGAAAACTCTCTTTAAATGTGTTTTGCAGGATTTCACCCCGGCTTCCTAGATACCACCAAAATGAGGTGGAAAGGCGGATATGAAATACTCTCGATGCCCTGATTGCCGAAAGTTTCACTGATATTTGTAGAATTTTGTTGCAGAAACTTACCAAGTACCTAACGCCAATTCATTTTTTGCCCCTACGAAATTAGTCCCATTATCTGAAAACACCTTGTTAGATTTGCCACGTCGCGCTGTGAACCGTCTGAAGGCAGCAATAAACGCCTCTTTTGTTAACTCTGTAACTAATTCCATGTGTTTTGCAGTTGTTGCAAAACAGAAAAAAAAGTGCAATATAGCACTTGACTTGAATATTACCGCTACCCCTTTTGTTTTTAATTAACATCAGTCCAGCATAATCTATATACCACACGAAGAAAAAGGTGCGGCAGGTTGTAACCGATCTATAGGTTACATCCCCATGATTGGATGTTTAGTATTAGGTTTAGTTTCAAAACATCGAACATACTCAAAAACAATTTTTCTAGACAGAACTCTCTCACCTATCGGCCAGTACCTTTCACGCACAGAGTAAAGAACATGTTGTGCTCCAGCATGATGTAATTTTTGATGTCCGTACATAAACAGAGGCTTAGTAAAATGATGTTTTCCACACAATACAGCAGGATGCATTTTGTTGTAATCAAAATTGGAAAGTTCCATTCTATGCTACCATCAACTCTTACAATGCCCTTTTCATCTAGGAAAGGGTTAATCCTTCTCAACTTACTTCCCTTATTTACACATTCACCCTTCAATAAATTATCAATTTCAATAAAGAATATCTCCTGTTGGGATAATTTTACTAAAAAGATCAGCGACTTATTCAACTCCGACATTCTCAGGATATCGGAATTCTCTAGAACACTCAATTTCTTAAACTTACATTTTTTTATAAATCTCAAGCAAATAAGCACACACACGAGAATTAACCTTTTGATTTAGGCCACATTTCCTGGGAAAGAGAGAACCACTGCGGGCCCTTCTACCAAATGTCACAACTGCTTAATTTATATTTTTTACATTTTCCCTTATATCTCGGAAACGAACAAAAATTTGGCAACCCTGTGCACTTACCTTCTATGTACACTAAAATCTGCAATTTTTTTCTAATTTAGTCGTCCTTGTCCCTCTTACGGTTTCGGAGATAGCAATAGTGATATCACTCAAAACGGACACCCTGAATAAAAGTCGGTAGAGATAATTATTGAGGCTAAAACAGAGTTACTAACGTCTAACATCCAAAAAAGGTGTTGTCAACCAAGGCTTAGAGAGAGGCTGATGCAGTCAAACGAGGAAAACTTCAACTCCAAGAACTGAAATCTCGGAGTCACAGTCAAAGACAAGGATCAAATCCAAAATCCAACCCTGTCCCCAGTCTTAACGATTAGTCATAGACGATATCGCTTGGTGGATAGCGGTTTGAAATTTGAGCATGAAATACGCCTCTCCGGAGATAATCAGACATACGAATTGAGAACGAGAATCACTCAATCTTCTAATCGAAGGCTGAAAAACGCATTCAGGAGTACTATGCCTGTCTGCTCTGCTTTGAAAATACAAAGAAAAATTGCGTCACCTTTTAAATAATATCTAAAAGAATAAGAATTTTTAAATCTTCAATGTGTGATTTGTTTACTACCGCTTCTGTTTTAATCTAGGTGGCATGTTTATTGTATGTTTTGTGGCAGTCAGTACTCTGAAATTTGTTCCTTGTATAGCGGTGTTATTATTATGCCGCAGTTTTTTTTCTTATAGAACCACTTTGCTCCTCTCTGAAATAACAAGTTTTTTCATTTTCCATCGTTTGATTCCTAAACTTCTGAGTTTGTCTAGTGTTTGTTATTTCTTGTCGATTATAATTTGTCTAATATTTATTCAATTCGGAGTTTTCGCTTTCCTTGGATATATTGTTTGGTTTCGATGCTATGTCTAAAAACGACGCCCACAGAGAATCTATCAGCTTTTTTCGTAATGAAATCCCAATTTAAGAAAAAGGAAGATTTTACATTTTCAATTCATATGTGGCTATTTTGGTTCCAATTGAGTCAAGTAGACATTTGAATTGACCTGAAAGGGATTTCCCAGTATAAATATAATGATATTATACATATAGATATGATATGTAGGTATTAATTAATTAAATTATTCCATGAGGAGTTCCCATTGACACAAAATTCTTTAAATAGTTTGCAAAGGATTAAAAACTGGTAGGGTAGTTAGTAGGTAGGTGCCTATTAATAATTCTTTATCAATAACTCAAGTGGTAAAAATTCTAAGGAAATAGTTGATAACAGTATTTAATATAATCCACAACTTTTTATAAGTATGGAAATCATAGATAAACTATAATTTATAAATAATAATTGTTAGGTACATCTTATTACGTTTTTATAGTTTCTTCCAAAATTTGGTAAGTTTAATAAGTATACCTATTATAAAAAAAAAAAAAACGCCGCGAGTGCTTTAGTGTAAGCTAATGTAAAAGCACACCCTAGATTTTCCAAGTACCCTATCTATTTGAGATAATAAAAATAACCATAACCTTATACATAAACAAAATACATCGATAAGTGCCTGTACAAACATTATTAATAAAAATAGACTTTATCAGAGGATACTTTTAATAGGGTCTATACCACTATGAACACTGTGAAACATACCATAGTCATCCTCCAAACGAAGGCATGGAATGAAACCTTTTCAAGTCGGATTTGTATAGATGGCCTGGACGACCCCCTAATAAGGGTGCTAAATTAATTAGGCGACGGAGAGGTGGGGTGGAGGAACGAGTGAGCTCTACTGTCCAGAGACTCTATTTGTTGTTTGACCTTCTCGAGAGTCGGATTTGATTTGTGGTTGTGTCGTACGATTTTTGTGTTTAAAACTGATTTATGTTATTTGAGGTAAGTTTTATACATTATTGAAAAGCATTCTGGAAAAACTTTCAATTTTTGAAGTGGAATATAATATTTATAGATTGCAACTTTATTGGAGGGTCCAAAATAACAAAATTTGATGATATTTAGATTACCTAATCCTAGTTTCAATCGAAAAGGAAAAATCCAATTTGTGTTAAAAAAATCTCAGCTGAAAAAAAAATAAATCAGGATATTTGGAATTGAAAATCGTCTTAATAAGTTAAATAAGATGAATTGAAATTATACTCTGAGAAAAACTTAATGCGAAATGCGTAATTAGATATATGGTGTAAATTACACAAATTTAGATACGTTAGACGCTCGGTTATGTCGACTAATAAAAGGTGCGTTCCCTGTTCATGTAATGGGAATGATATTTATAGTTTTGAAAATAATCAATTACAGTTTGTTTACATAACAGTTGGCTTTTTTTTGCAACCTTGTCCTTGCATAATCAATATGTTTGTTGAGAAGATCTCTTCCACCAGCATCCATGACACATCGTCATCTTACTTATCCTTATTCCATTCTAGAATATCTTATCTTCCTTTCAACAATGTCTTAACCACGGAAATGTTCTTACTCCTGTACTTACTCAAAAATGGCGTGATGAAACGTATACTATTTTCTATAGAGAAACTTTTGACAATTTTTTTCTCGATTTTTTTATGGTGCAAATGTTGATTGACCATATTTTCACAATAAAACTCTTTTTACCAACAGCATCTTTTATCGAACTCATTAACTTCACAAAACTCACTCTTCCCAACCCCAGTAGCACACAATGTTGGTCCCATGTTGCGGATACATTGGACCAATGTTGTATGTTGGCCTAATATTGGAATTTTTTAGCCAACATTGGACATTTATTGGCAATACAACTTCTTTCATCATTATAATAATATATTTATCCAAGAATGGGCCAATATGCACAAACAATATTGTTATCGGCAGCATATAGCCAAGATTGGTTACATATTGGCAATACATATTTTTCTTATATAACAGTGATATATTTATCCATCATTGAACCGATATGCACAAAAAAATTGTTTTTTTTTGCATTATTGAGCCAATATTGGCAATACATATTTTTCCACATTGTAATATTATATTTACTTAAGAATGGGCTAATATACAGAAAAAATATCTTCATTGACATTATTTAGACAAAATTGGTGGATTATTGGCAATACAACTTTTTCTAATATTACCATAGTATTGTATCCATTAATGGACCAATATGCACAGATAATGTTTTTATTTGCATTATAAAGCCAATATTGGATATAATATGGCAAAACAAATTTTTTTAATATAACAGTGATATATTTATCCATATTGGCCAAATATTGATGCTATATTGGTAAAATATTGTATATGGGTCTAATATTAGCAATTTGTAGCCAATATTGGTAATATATTGGAGATTAATCTTTTTCCTACATTATTATTATATAATATGTAAATCCAAGATTGATCCAATATTGGATCCAATCCATGTTTGGCAATATCTTTTATTCGTGTTTATATTTAATATTTATCCAATATTGGTGATATATAGGAGATGTACCTTTTCCATATCAATCAGAACTACCGAGAGAGGGCACCACGCGCTACTGATGGCCTTGCTCTTTCCTAGTGTTCGAGTTTCCTTCAAACCTGTTTCTTTAAGTTGGTGTGCTTCGCTCACAAGTTCGAAGCCGGAAACCGGTCTAGTCTGCAGGTGTTGGAGCTTTGGTTAAATACATGTGTTTTTCCAAAAAAATATTGTAAATATTTCTAGGAAATATTTCTAGAAGAAATATTTCATATTTATTAATTGGTAATATTGGAGAAATATTTATATTCACTATCGGATTCATATAAAAAGTATACATTGTGCCATTCTGGAAAACAAATATTGGGTATATTTCTAAAAGCAATATTACATGTTTATTAATAAGCAATATTGGGACAATATCTTTCTTCAATATCGGATTCATATTTACAATATATATTGGGCAAAAAAAAGAAAATCTGTCGTTTCCATTCTTGGGCCAATATTTAAATATAATATTTTACCAATATTGTTGTGCTACTGGGGAAGCAGCAATTTGTGCCCAAACTTGGACACGATACTTTCTGTTTCCAAATTGTTTCGGCAAAAATCCGAAAACTTATGTCTAAATGGAAACTGTGTCCATTCATCAAATTGGTGGCTGCTTTGTTTCGACACTTTCTGGACCAATTGTGTCCAAAAAAAGTATGGGTCTATAAGTAGCATTATTTCAGAAACATGTGCCGAATTTACGTCGCTTCTGTACCTTCTTGGAAACAGTTACATAATTCGGGCTCACTAGGGTCGACACTGTTGACTAAATGTTTTCATATTGTACCTTACTAATCTGTTTTCGTTTTGTTACAAAATTAAGTGAAGTGGACGCAAATATTTTCATTTAGCCGCAGTTACAAAAATGTGTGGGGCGGCATTAGGTTCCGAAGGGACACATTCAACACACATTTATTTCTAATTTTTGTCTAAAGGGTTTTATTAAGTTTACGGGTGAATTCTGTGCACTACTGTAAGCAAATCGATTGCCAAATACTCCATCGGAAATATCTACGATCTTATAATATATTCTGTAATCTACCGGAAGTGCAGAATTATAAATTGTCTTAAGGCAGCTATAGGCTTATAGAAATTTATAGAATTGCTTACAGATGTGCACAGAATTGATCCATTAGTTTATTGATGAATTTTTCACTTTTTTACGTTTTTAGGTGGCCAATACAATATACCCTCCTGCTCCCAGTTATTTGGGACAATGGACAGGCGAACCATATTGTTTTCAATCGTTTTGAAGATTTTAAATGACATTCCAAGGCACTGGAGAAATAAGTTTCTTGAAACTTGCTAGAAGAAACTGGAAATTTATTTGATTACCACACGACATACATTCAAATGAGGCGGATCACACTGGCGGAACAATTTCTGCTCTCCTCTTTTAGAAACGCCAGTGTGCTCTGCCTCATTTGAATGTAGGTATGTGTCGTGTGGTAAAAAAACAAATTTCCAGTTTCTTGATGTAACAAGTTTCAGTAAACTCATTTCTCCAGTGTGTCACCTGCCTAAAACTCACACTCAAATACAAAACAAACGTGAAACATTACAAAGACAAACGCTGTATCTTATCTAATCTAATCTAATTTTACCTAACTTTATTCCACAATACTCCTATTTGAAACTGACTTACAAACTACGCTCGATATATCCCTACAAAATCCTTCAATCGAGAAATCTCCAGGATCACGTAATTTAATTTATGACATACAAAAAAAAAAATTGTTTTGCATTCGTCCGCGAAATGAGCTTTCGCAGCCGCTACATAGGCCGCGGCCGCCATACCTTACGTGCAAAATGTGTCAAATCCTTGTCAAGACCATACAGTTTTTCTGTAACTTTACATAATTTTCATAGTTGCACAAAAAATATATTCGACTTTTTATCATATTATTATTATTAATATTATATTTATAATTTATATTTCTATCTGCTTCACAGATTCTCTGGTATCTCCAATCGACGGGCGGCTACCAAGTCCATTGGAGAGAAGGTCACTTCTGGATGAGAACGGATCTTGTGATATTACAAGTTTGCAGTTATAGTGGCTTTTTGAGCTTGAGAGTGTATGTTTTCATTGAGATCCAGTTGATGAAGGTGTTTAATGAATGTGTTCTGCGTGATACCCGTTGCTGACATGATAAAAGGAATAATTTGAACTGGTTGCTGTTTCCATATTCCTTCCACTTCTATTGCTAGTTCTTGATATTTTGGTTTCTTTTCGGTGTATTTTTTAGAGGTATTATGGTCACCCGGGACAGCGATGTCTATTAGATAGGCAGTTTTCTTTATTTTGTCCTGAATAGTTATATCTGGCCTGTTGTGCATAACCGTTTTATCGGTTTGTATTGTCAGGTCCCAGTATAGTTTGTAGTTTCTATTTTCTCTCATTGGCGCGGGGTTATAGGTGTAGTAAGGTTAGTTTTCATCTTGAAGTTTATATTTCAGTGGAATTGCTTGATGAACTATTTTTGCAACTTTGTTATGTCTCTTGGTGTACTCAATACCTGGCTACTAACATTTTACACCCAGATATTATGTGGTCTATTGTTTCGGGAAGTAAGTAGTTGACATTCTCCACATTTGTCATTTTTCTCAGAGCCATCCTTTATCATATATTTTCTATTGTTTTGGGTGGCTATCACTTGATTCTGTATTAAATTGAAAAAGTAGTCCATGACTCAAAGTGGAGTTGAAATTTAATTTCAAAGAAAAACACCCAGTCTTCCTCCACAAGTATATCTTTATTAGACTTAAAAAGCCCTACTAGTTGCGAAACTAGAAAGCTTCATCTTCAGGGGCAAAAAAATTATAATTTAAATCAGCTCAGATAGTTAAAGAGTGTATTGTTTAATAAACCGCCGGAGTTAACATTGTGTGGAAAAATCTTTTTCAAAAAGTTGAAAGTAATTAAAAAAAAATTGGATAAATAAATTAAACATAACACAAAAATTGTAAAAAATATTACTTAGAAACAAAACAAATAAAGCATTAGAATGAAGAAAAATTGAAATTTTCTTTCTCTCTAAAAATTGTCATGTCATGTTCTTAAGAATGTAGTGTGCTCCTGATCTATACGCATTGTTATAATGTCTCCCGTGAAGCGGCTTATTTGACCATTTTTGTAACTTTTCTTGTCTATTATAGTGTTTTATATGGTGTACTTCCGCTGCTAAGTTAAGGGGTGTATAGTTTTTGTCGATTTTTACTAAAGCTTTGTGTAATAGGTGTTCTCTACTATGGAAGCACGAGCTCAGTGTGTCATTCTGCTTAGCATGCAGTTCGCTACCTCCCTGGTCTCTTTTGAATGTTATCCTTTCCTTGCAGGAATTTGGATGCAAATTTACTGTGTTTTGTTACTTGTGATCTTGTTAGAATATGT